TTAGATTATTAAAAAAAAATATTGCTGTACAAAACTTTGGTGGCAAACCTGCGGTGCTAAAAGCTACCACAAAAAGAAAAAAAAAACAGATAGTGCTCAAAAGTCCCCTCTGATCGAAAATATATATGGAGGGTGCAGCCTTTAAACTGGCGACTTCTTACTGTTTGGCTTTTGCTCTGACTCCCTGTGGTGGATAAGGTGTGAGACCTGACTGTGAGCAGGTTTCTGCTGGTGGAAAATAAAGTCCTGCTGCTCAAACACAGGAAGACTGAAGTGAAAAAAAAAGACAAGTCATTTATACAAGAGTCAGCTCTTGTGTGAAATGAAGCTCAGTCACAGCTCGCATGCTGTGTACAAAGGCTTGAATTTGCTATATTTTGACACAAATATCTAAACTTTCTTCTCCTTACATTTTCAAAACAGGTTCATTACTTTGAAACCAGTAGAGTAAACAATTCAAACTTATAATCACACAGGTAAACAGTATTATAGCAAAGTCACACTACTATTCACACTGACTGTAAGATTGGTGCAAAAAAAACAATCTGCTTCATCATGGATGCACAATAGCTTCATTGCAATCTTCAGCGAACCGCTCACTCCAAACAAGCCTGTTCAGAAAAGGCATTGCACTAGTGTGTGTGCATATGAAAGGCCAAAGACAATTATATGTAGGTGGATCAATCAACAGTCTGCCACAAACCCAGAGATGTGAGAGGCTTTTACTGCAGTGAAAAGAGAAGATCTCAGACCCTCTCATTAGTTTTTGTCTCTGCGGTTTGAAACAGGATGTCCCCAGATCAGTAGCTTGAGGTTGGTTTGTTCACTGCTACTTCAGGGAGGGTTAACTTCTCTGTAATCCATTTAAAGGCAAATTCCACCAATTTCACAAATCTAGTCAAATCAAAGGTCAGTTTGACGCGTGCATCACGACTCAGCCAATGAAGCACGGTTGAAGAATGTCTTCTCCACCCTGATGCTGTTACCTGGGTTTTCTCATCTTTGGTTAGTACTGAAGAAGTGATCACCTCACATCGGTCGCTCTGAAGCAGAACGCACCAGCGTCACGTGGCTGAAAGAAACCGTTTGTTCATTCTCTTCTAAAGGAGATGTTGCCTTCACCCAATTACTTGTCTCTGATGAGTGCTGCTTCTTGGTATGGCAACACTCAATCATATGGGCTATCTGTTCTTATGTACAGTAAAAGCAAAGTGATGTGGTCTGGTTTCCTGCAGCATCCAGATCCAACGATGCATTTTCTGGATTTCGGATGATACATTTGTGTCTTTTGGTAGTTTTTGATTACAATTACAATTGAACACCTTTACATGTGCTCATGTAGTGTGGTACACAGTGTTCCCAGGTCCCCAATATTCACAGATGTGACTAAATAAATCAAATTCTTAAAAGTCAGTGTTTACTTTTCTCACTGAACCACCTTGACAATTTTACCATTGTACTTATGAATTTCTTTCTATCATATACTTGCTGTTACCTCCCTGCTGTCATAGCAATGCAATCTACAACTTTATCAAATGCTCCATACACTCGCACCACCAGGCAGGTTGATGCCATGATGGCTGAGCGGAAACACAGTCACATCTGGAGCTCTTCTCATATCTGAAAACCGCAACGTTGGGGTACTTTGGTAAAAAGCGGACTAAAGAAAATGGGAAAAAGCTAATGCAAGACTACCTTGTTGGCCTGTTGATAATTATTGATATGTGATCATGTAGCTATAGTTTGAAATAGCCTATTTCCCTTTTCTTAACACACTGAGCTATTGCAAAAAGTCCCGGTATCAAGTTGATATGACCAATACTCCCATTGGTTCAACTTGCTATAGACAGTCAGAGGCATCGCACATCACTACTGCTTTGTGTTTGTGTGATGGTGGTGTGAAGCAGGATGTCCCTTTTTCTTTCAGCAGATCAGTGCAGGTTCTTTTTGTGATCAGACTACAAACATAGTTTAGAARCTTGCTCATGTTCCCCCGACACAGCAGGTTTCTTTATGCATCTCTCTCTGATGACACTAAGCCTTAAACTTCATGTTTAATCTTGTTTCTTAACTTCTTTTAACAATTTCCACCTAGTTCGCAGGATCTCTCTGACATGCACACCTTGTCAAAAGCTTTTTGATGTGTCAGCCCTTTGTGGTCCCGTCTCAGCACAAACACTGACTTTACTTGAGTTTGTGTACAGATCATAGACTGTACATAAAGATGGACGACACATCTCTGCTTGTGACAGTTGTACAAAAAAGAAGCTAAACTAGAAAACCCCAACTGTCCCCTTAAATTCAATCAAACAGCACCAATTGCACACACTAACTGATATCAGTCCCTTAAATATACCTGATTTTTGTCATTAAAAGCTGTGAATTATTCTCTGTGGAGATGGTAAAAATGTTGGAAACCAACAATTTATCAAAGTGATGAAAAAAAATTCCATGGATCCGCCCCTGATTCTGATCCACACCATATTTTAAAGGATTCTTCCCTGATCCATAGCGCAATTGTTTTTGTCTTTGATATAAATACTTGTACATGTCTGTATTTTTATATTTGTATTATTTGTCTCGAAAATTCCAGAAAGCTCATGAAAAAGTGTCAGCCTGAACCCGCCTCTTTACTCTGAGACCACTCAAAGGGAACACAGTTCAGTGACGAACATTACACAAGTGCTGCTCTACCRTGCACACGACGATGAACCTTACCCTTCTATCAGCTTTACTCTGTATCCTAAGTAAGTAGATCTATTTTTTTCTCARTATAACAACAGCCAACCTTTATGTTTTTGAATGGTTTAGATCTATTTTGTAGCTTTATTCTCCTTTAGGACCCAGTGTTTAGACAAAACAGTGGTTAGCCTAAGAAAGATAGAGAGACGCTCCACAAATTGACTAATGGTATGTAGCCACCTTTACTTTGAAGGTGTATAATATTCCTTTCTCCCCTGATGCATCAGGTAAATTGACAATAAATACATCTGAMATCATCTGTCTCCAGATAAAACTTCACCCTGCAAGATTTCCCTTGCAACAATGTCTCTACCCAAACAGAAAAATGTCACAATGTTGTTTGTTTCAGGCTGGATCTCTGTCTCACGTTGCAATTTTCACGTTGTGGAGGTTCAGACCGGTGAAGAGGTCACGCTGTTGTGTACCAACTACAGCAGTGTCCYYTCTMACATATCCTGGTTCAGACTGGACAACAGATCCAACACCAGYCRMATCTCCTCCATGTYRRACCCTGACACAGATGCACRGCTCAGCAATRGATTTGAAAAAGAAAAGTTCAGCATGACGTCCAACGTCAGTACCCTCTTTCTCCAAATCAAACAAGTGGATTTATCTGACTCTGGACTCTATATWTGTGGAYTTACCATGAACAGAGACTCCAAAAAGGTCCCAACAATTTACAGTGCAACATATTTGAAGGTTMAAGGTAAGATCGCTGCAGAGTTTTGTTTGTATTTTGTTTTAAGGGAAATAGATTTTTAAGCCGTCTTGAAATAAGAGCTGGTCTGAGCTAAATACATGACAGTTCCCCAAAAAGGGAGCCAAAGCGTCTCGATCGCCACCTGGTGGTGGACTGCCATATAGGTCGTGTCCTCTGTGTTAGTGGATGGGACATGGATCAAACTTTAAAATTTTAAAATACACATCAAATTATATTTKCCTGCTTCTTTTATACAACGTTAGTAGTTGATAAGCAAATTATGTTTAGATCTAAAGAAATGTAACCTCTGCTGAAGGCTTTGTGATGGTGTCAGCATTTCTCTGCACCATATACTGTATAAAAAGCTGGCTGCAATACAAGTCATAAACCCTGCCCACTCCATGTTAGCAAATGGGACATGGACCAAATAAGATAGATGGATTTGGTCATTTGAGGTTGTTCTTATCACACTGATGTATGCTCAAGGTTTTTGTTATTTGATGCTATAAAATRGAGGTGAAACGTGGGATGTTTTGGCTTCACGTCGTCCATCTTTATATACAGTCTTTAATCTCATCGCACAATAATGTATCTTTCTTGTAGAAGAGTCTGATGCACAAGCMAATCTGACCATCAAGACCCTCATGGGCRGYTTGATTGTCCTCCTCATTATAATCATCATCGTYCTGGTTCTTAAAATCTGGAAACTTCATCCAGGTATTTATGTGTTTTTACTCCAACTTTGCTGATACAACGCTTCCTGATTCCTGAACAWTGAACTGACCACATGTATTGTTTCTGTCATTCAGGACATAATGAGGCACAGGATCCACCTCACAATACGGTAATCAAACTTGAACCATAGATTAACATTGATCCAAGTCYAGTCTTTCAGTCATCAAGTAGTGGTTTTATGAAATGTCACACAGACAKCTCAGTGTGAGATGAGTAACTGAATACTTCCATTTACAGAATATGGGCTYTGGTGACCTGAATTATGCRGCACTGAGTTTCYCTTCAAGAGCAGAGCAGAGCAGAAGGCCTGCTGGAAGAGGAGAGCTGGAGCCTAATGTTGTGTACGCCACCACCATGGACTCAAGAAACCTCTGTACCTGCAACTTAGAGAGGAACTGAGGCTCTGTCGTCAGTCTGCTTTTGGGATTTTGTGCTGCCACAATTTAAAATCTTACTTAAAGTGAAGTCTTTATCTTCTCATTGTACATGTGTATCTTGGTGCAAAAGAAATAAAGGCAAAGGAAGGAAAAGGTCTTGATGATTGTCCAGAGTCTTGTTTTAGTCATGACCTCCGGGGGGATGTTCATAGAATATTCATATATATATATATATATGAATATTCATTATCTCAAGGCACTTTGCATATAAGGTCAATCCATCGTCATGACCCACAACCACCATCACAATCCACAGGTCAACTTATAGTTTGGGGCAGGTGGAGGTCTGCAGTGCATCACTTGTTTGACAGGAAGCGACAGTAGGTCAAAGGTCAAAGGAAGCTGGCTCATCACGTACAGTCTGACTCTGACTCGTTCACTACTACAGAGTCTGCTCCAATCTCCCATCATATCTATGTAATGACATCTGGGGGAGTGATTAAGTTGGACTTCAAACAATAACTGTTCCACTGTTGCAATAAACATTTGAACATGAGTTGTCTGACTGAACTTGGTTTAATCAACTGTGTGTCTAAAACAACGCACATGTGCTGTGACGGCTCAACCACAGGAAGACTGGCCTTCAACTCAATGCACCACAACCACAAACAACAAKGTTTTGTTGTTTCCATGCAGCGACACCWMCGGCACCTCCACAGCAGTGACACATCAGTGAGCTGCAAAATTACAAATGTATGTCGTGAAAAACACTGATCCTGCCTCCTCTGAACTTGACTCCTTTGACACCGACCACAGAGACACAGGCTCTGTTCAGACGTCCTGTCCTGAGATCCAATCAGAAGTGGTCAGTGTTAAGTTTGTCTCTTCACACCGGATGTTAAAATGTGTCAACAATAYGTCTTCTGTCCCTAACACTTATCTCATTCTATCTTATCTTAAGATCTTGAATTGACTTAATTGAWCTTATCTTGACTTCAGTTAGGTAATCTTAACATATCTTATTTTCTTATCAYAACTTCAATTAGCTTGAAGTAACTTAACTCAACTTCTCATCGTCTTATATCTATCAGAGTGAGTGAGAAAGAGACAGCACTGTGTGGTCACAGCTGAGATGTGTGAGCATGCACAAGCACTGACACCCTGCTTGTTATTCTTAAACAGAGCTGGAGATAACATCTTCAATTTAACAAGTTCCAACCACAGGAAGACGGGCCAGCAGCCCAAGTCTACTGTATCAGAAATGTATTTCACATGTCTGGTGGTGTTTTTCTATAAGGTCCAGCTTACACCTCAAGTCTGAATACTGGCATTACGCAGCCGAAAACACTCATTTGTGGTTGAATTGTACAAAAGCATGTAGCATTTGCAAACAAAAATGAAAAAAAGTCCTTGATATTTCTCTCAAGTTGATGCAACATGCTTCCATAGAATTACATCACAAGAAGAGACCCCACCTTAAGTACACATTTGACTGGTCCACTCCAAACTGCTGGGGAATTATTATTATGAGTCGSCACCTCCTGCCGGCCATCAGTGGGATCTTTGGTTTCACCAGTGTCACGTGGCTGAAAAAAAAGTGTTTATAAAGTCTAAATGAAACCGTTTGTTCATTCTCWTYTAAAGKAGATGTTGCCTTCACCCACTCACTTGTCTCTGATGAGTGCTGCTTCTTGGTATGGCAACACTCAATCATATGGGCTATCTGTGCTTATGTACAGCAAAAGCAGAGTGATGTGTTCTGGTTTCCTGCAGCATCCAGATCCAGCGATGGATTTCTGGATTTCAGATGATACATTTGTGTCTTTCAATCAGCTCTTGCCTATTTTGGTTGTTTTTGATTACAATTACAATTGAACACCTTTACATGTGCTCATGTAGTGTGGTACACAGTGTTTCCAGGTCCCCAATATTCACAGATGTGACTAAATAAAACAAATTCTTAAAAGTCAGTGTTTACTTTTCTCACTGAACCACCTTGACAATTTTACCATTRTACTTATGAATTTCTTTCTATGATATACTTGCTGTTACCTCCCTGCTGTCATAGYAATGCGATCTACAACTTTATTAAATGCTCCATACACTCACACCACCAGGCAGGTTGATGCCATGATGGCTGAGCGGAAACACAGTCACATCTGGAGCTCTTCTCATATCTGAAAACCGCAACGACCATGTGCATGACGTGTACGGAGAGACGTTGAGGTACTTTGGTAAAAAGCGGACTAAAGAAAATGGGAAAAAGCTAATGCAAGACTACCTTGTTGGCCTGTTGATAATTATTGATATGTGATCATGTNATATATGAATATTCATTATCTCAAGGCACTTTGCATATAAGGTCAATCCATCGTCATGACCCACAACCACCATCACAATCCACAGGTCAACTTATAGTKYGGGGCAGRTGGAGGTCTGCAGTGCATCACTTGTTTGACAGGAAGCGACAGTAGGTCAAAGGTCAAAGGAAGCTGGCTCATCACGTACAGTCTGACTCTGACTCGTTCACTACTACAGAGTCTGCTCCAATCTCCCATCATATCTATGTAATGACATCTGGGGGAGTGATTAAGTTGGACTTCAAACAATAACTGTTCCACTGTTGCAATAAACATTTGAACATGAGTTGTCTGACTGAACTTGGTTTAATCAACTGTGTGTCTAAAACAATGCACATGTGCTGTGACGGCTCAACCACAGGAAGACTGGCCTTCAACTCAATGCACCACAACCACAAACAACAATGTTTTGTTGTTTCCATGCAGCGACACCACCGGCACCTCCACAGCAGTGACACATCAGTGAGCTGCAAAATTACAAATGTATGTCCTGAAAAACACTGATCCTGCCTCCTCTGAACTTGACTCCTTTGACACCGACCACAGAGACACAGGCTCTGTTCAGACGTCCTGTCCTGAGATCCAATCAGAAGTGGTCAGTGTTAAGTTTGTCTCTTCACACCGGATGTTAAAATGTGTCAACAATAYGTCTTCTGTCCCTAACACTTATCTCATTCTATCTTATCTTAAGATCTTGAATTGACTTAATTGAWCTTATCTTGACTTCAGTTAGGTAATCTTAACATATCTTATTTTCTTATCAYAACTTCAATTAGCTTGAAGTAACTTAACTCAACTTCTCATCGTCTTATATCTATCAGAGTGAGTGAGAAAGAGACAGCACTGTGTGGTCACAGCTGAGATGTGTGAGCATGCACAAGCACTGACACCCTGCTTGTTATTCTTAAACAGAGCTGGAGATAACATCTTCAATTTAACAAGTTCCAACCACAGGAAGACGGGCCAGCAGCCCAAGTCTACTGTATCAGAAATGTATTTCACATGTCTGGTTGTGTTTTTCTATAAGGTCCAGCTTACACCTCAAGTCTGAATACTGGCATTACGCAGCGGAAAACACTCATTTGTGGTTAAATTGTACAAAAGCATGTAGCATTTGCAAACAAAAATAAAAAAAAGTCTTTGTGATATGTCTCTCAAGTTGATGCAACATGCTTCCATAGAATTACATCACAAGAAGAGACCCCACCTTCAGTACACATTTGACTGGTCCACTCCAAACTGCTGGGGAATTATTATGAGTTGGCACCTCCTGCCGGCCATCAGTGGGATCTTTGGTTTTATAACAACAAAATGTCCCTTTACTGTGGCATCATATATTACACATTTCCAAGCAAAAAACTTAGGAAATGTTAGTGTACAATTAAAAAAGATATTGGTTATATTTGAGTAAAATAAGGTTTACCAATGTATTCAGGAAAGTTCTTATGCATCTGCTATTATTAGACAATTTTGGGAGGGGAAATAAAAGTTGTATCTGGTATAATTTCAACAGTACAGAGAACCATCAAGTCTAGATATGATTTTTTATAAATGAATACACCATCCTGGCCCTGGGGTAGAAATAAATCAACTTTTGAACTGGTGTTGAAGACTCGGGATTTGAGACACCTTAATCTGTACATAATGCAGGGCATTGATACCAGTAACTACTCACAGTTTAAATGGCAGAATATTAGTTCAGACAGACTCCATGTTATTGTTGTAAATGTTTTATTCATGCAGGTCAGAGTCCAAAAAGGCAATACAAAGCAGTAATATCAACTTCTCACCTTTGTCCCGACTGTGAAATCAGTTCAGATACTAATTCCATTGCATTTGATTTCTTTCCTGATTTACAAAGGCTTTATCAATCAATCTGATTATGTCTGTAAAACAAAATGTAGAAATCCTTATGCTGTCAAGTCCAAATCTCATCTCTAGTCCTGTTTAGCCAAACCCTAGCTGTTCTAAAAGCTTCTCTAATTATCATGTTGAAAACATTTGCCCAAAAAATTACTGATCTTCAAATCTGGAAGAAGGGCTGTCAATTAACTACAAATGTAGCTCAGAATTATTCACTCCTGGCTAACACTGTCAATACACAGCCGACTTACGACTGAATGGATGTTTGGGTGCAGGCAATGGCTAAACACCAGGTGACACTGTCTTCCTGGAGTTGTAAGCTCTGCAGTATATATATACAGCAATGTCTACCTATAAAACAGTCATATGTGAGCATGTACTGACTATCAAGTAGTCCTTAAAACCCTGGACTTACCTGTTGACTGTGAAGGTCTCCAGCAGCCTTTGAGGACATCTCGCCCCACATTCAGGGGGAACTAGTCTCGCCTGTGGCTGGAGTGTGTTACCACTGTTATGCACTTAAGCTAAAATGTTTCAGTTTAGGGCACTGAGGTGGGAGGGGGGGGCGGGGCGAAGGTAAAAAGGTGCGCTGCTGAATGATCAGATGACCAGAAAAGATATTCCTTCATTCTACGTGACGATTTTATTATACGTGGTTTCATCAGAAATGAACGGATGATCATAGAATTCGTATTTTTCGAAAGATCCTTGCTGAGGATTTGACTCATTTCAAGCGGTCACACTGAGGTGTTTTAGCGCAGAGCATGATTTTGAGCACATCTGTGAACCACATTACTGCACAAATCCGTTTTATTAAAAAAGGTCGACAGTGGACAGGTACATATGAACGCTTTTTTTTGTTAACTACACCGTTAGCTCTTTCTTTTCACGTGTCTTAGCAGTTTAGGTTTTCACAGGATCGCCACATGGAGATTTAGTTTTTTCGATGGAAAGGTTTAGAATGATGGAATAAACGTAGATTTAATACCAAATATGATTCAGTTGAGTTTACAGTCACATGTATCGCCTAGAAACTGCTGCTGAAATGGTTCAGCTGTCTAAGGTTACAAACCACATCAGAACACTAATTATTCAAACGTAAAAATACAATAAAAAAAATATTTACGCCTAACTCAGACGTCAAGCATTAAAAATACTACAGCACAATGACAAACTAAAACAATCAGGGGGGAAAATACGACTGTAAAAGTTGTCCCAAATTAATTAAAACAAAAACAGACGTGGGCGTCGACAATTTGGTTCCTCCTGTGAGCATCTCAGGGGAACGTAACGCGCTCAGCCGCAGACAGGAAGTGGATAGTGTCACGTGCATCAGGAGGCGGCGAGCGGCGACGCAGGCGAACGACGATCCTGGAAAAAGAGCAAATGACACAAAATGAACTGTCTGCAAATGTGGATGTAAAGCCTGTTCCATCGTAATGGCCTGCGTGCTGTCTTTTCTCAAGATCTGTCTCGTGACCCTTTCTTCAGCCACCCAGATTCCAAAGTGGGGCGTCTGCCTTTGTCGGACGGAGCCACACATTAAAACAGGTATTAACTGAAAGTTAGCGCACAGATGCGCATTATCAACGGATACTTCGTACGCTTGCTTTTTCCACAAGATCTGGAGCGTGTCGGACAGGTCAGGCTGCCCCTGCCTGTACAGAGACGAAGTGCATTTTCAGGAAAGAAATGAACACCAATCTACCTCAGACCTATTCTCACCTTCACATGTCGGGGCCTTGCTTAATAAGCGTAGCGTGCAGGAGGTGGCGGGGGCAGTCGCTCTGCGTAGGGATCCCTGGCACGTGGAACTCCGTATGCCGGGACGCGGGAAACCGGAGAGAGCCGGGAGCGCTCGTAGGAGTAGCCATTACTGGCAGGAGGCATTGGCGTGTTAGGCGCTCTCCTCAGGGGGCTGCGATCTCGGGCGTAGTACGAGGATGGAGGAGGCGGGAGAGGCCGACGCTCGTACGGGTCAAGCGACGGGGTCATAAGACGGTCTCGGACGACGGCTGAGGGGGGAGGGGGAGGAGGAGGGACGCCGCCACGCTGATCCTCATAGGAGGCGATGCCATACGGGCGGGCTCGGTACTTCTCATAGTAATCTACCACGCCATATCTGTCCCTCTCGCCATCGTACGGACGGTCGGGATAAACAGCTCGTCTAGGGGGAGGGGGCGGCAGAGGAGGGGCTGGGTAACCTGGGGGCATATGGCCAAGGCGACCTCTCATGTAGCCAGGTGGGGGAGGCTCGTGCCTCTCTCCTGGATAGCGTGGGGGCCAGTAGCCACCTCTGTCTGGGGGAGGAGGGGGGTAGTCCTCCCGTTCGTCGTGTCTGGGACGGCTCTTGGAAATCTGGACATGGATGCGTTTGCCTAAAAATAACGACAATTAATAAAGAAAATAAATCATCAGGAGTAAAATAAACACAATGACATTGACTTGTATCATACAATGTCATTAGCAAACCTTGAAATTCAGTGTTGTCCAGCCCCTTGATCGCATCCATGGCCTCATCGGAGTTTGACATGTGTACAAAAGCAAAATTCTTGACAACAGCACACTCTGTGACCGTGCCATACTCTTCGAAGAGAGCGCGGAGCTCGTCATCAGCTCCCTTCTCTACGTTCGCTACGTGCAGCTTGACCGCGGCATGGTTCTTCCCGTGGCTGGCTTCCACGTTGATTGGCGTGCCGTGAAGCTTATAGAGGTGCAGATTTTTGATGGCTTTGGTGGCTGACTTGCGGTCATCCATATGGACGAAGGCGTAGTTCTTGATGATGGCGCATTCTGTGACCGTGCCGTACTGTGTGAAGAGCGCCTTGATTTCTTCCTGGTCCGCCTCTCGGGGCAGATTCCCCACAAAGATTTTCACCATTGTTAAACCTGTACCAGGGAAATACAAAGGAAAGTGTCTATATTTTAGAGTGAAGACAATTGTTACAATGATACCTAGTTAAAATCGAACACATTGATCTTTGATTGCATGTCTACATGCTTTTCTAGGGTCAGATTCCACACAGACATGTTCACCTACATTGTAAACACAAGAACATATAGAGAAAACTGTTTATATCTATAGGTGAAGGGAAAGTGGAACATTATTCAATCTTAACGTGTTAATAGTTGAGTACACCGTTTCACAGTGTTAAAAGATGCCTTATTGATTGAACAGGCCTGTCTACTGCAAAATGGCTGACAACGGTGTCTCTAACAGCATTTCATCCCTTATTTATCATATTCCTTTGACATTCCAGCATGTGTATCTCATTTGATGCCGTTAAAACACCACGAAGCTCACGATTAGCTAAATAAACACCACCGCCGGTTGGAGTTATTCGCTGGAGCTAGCTGTTAGCTCCGGTTAGCTCGCCGGGCAAGCCACGCTGGGACACAAAGCGCCGCCGACGAGACGAAGCAGCGCGACGGCGAACCCTCCCCGCACCGCGCGGGCGAGCGGGGAGCTCAAAAACACAGCGCGTTCCATTCAGAACATCCACACAGTTCACTTCTTTTACCTTTTCACCAGGAAGCCTCAACAAAGAGCTCGACCTCCTTTCCAGAGATTTCCTCAGACCGACTTCCGCTGGGCTGCGTTCTGTGGTTTTCCCACACGCTGCGGCTTCCGGTTCTTATTGATCATCGCTGCTTTTTTTTTTTTTTCCACCCCCGGCTCGCAACCACAGCGCCCTCTACCGTCCAGGAGGGTAATCATTAAAATAGCGTGTTCCGTTTTATTTTATTGTCTGAGAAAATAACTAGTTCACATATTTATACCACGTGCTTAATGTCCATGTGACTGAAAAATAAATAAAAAACACCATATTACCATGAACCTGTTATGGTCCCTTTTATTTGTTTTTATATTTTATACTTAAAGTTTACTGTTTACTGTTTTTGCTACATTTTTCACAAAATAGAATATATTTAATATTTATACCTTTTCTCCTTATACTTCTTAAAATATTTTTCGTATATTTTCTTATATTAAGATTTTTAGTGTTTACTGTTGCTGGGGAGACCGAGAGTATGAGCAATTTCAATTCCTCAATATTTCTGTCTATTTTGATGTAGCAACTGAAAAAAATAGAAACACACTTTTCCATATGAACAGTATGTTTAGTTTTAGTTTAAAGTTACATTTTCCTTTTCGAGTTTAGGATTTTATTATATATTACTGACATAATATAACTGACTATCAGCACAGCCGTCTATCATCTATAGGTCTGACTATCTATCTATTAATAATAATGGTTCTATTAACAACTAGATTGTAGGGACATCTAGTGGTGAAGTGTCATGTTGCAGCTGAATACCCCTCACCATTTGATTAAAGATTTACAAATATAACTCTATGACTAACATCCTCTTGTAATCCAGCACAATAAGAAACCTTACACCCCGTGATGACTGTCTGTGCTGCTGCTTCAGGTTGCGTCATCGCGGAATTTTCGGTGCTGCTGTGTTGCGTTCAGGTGCTCGTCTTAAAGTTGTATGTTCGACCACTGAGATACGCTCATGGAAATGTAATCAGAAAAAGAAAAAAAACAACCAATAAACACAAAGGTAAAACTCAGTCCAGTGAGGTCTCCCTAATCATGAGGGTAGTTTTATATGTGCAACAATTACTTTTGAGTGATGTTAGATAGTGTGTGCTTGCGTCTTCGGCTTGATTTTATTGTCCTAACACAAAAACAAAAAAACTTGTGCTTTGTAACTTTGTTTTGAGAATTGCAATATAAATAAAGGTAGTACTACTCCTATTATTTATGTTTACAAGGAGAAAAGGAAAAAAATACATGAAAATGTTCCTTTTCCTTTCGATTCACCACTACTTTACTTCATCAACTGTGAGAATCCGCACTTGAATGCAACTTCCTTATGGGTCTTGTGAGAGGCAACATCAGTCTTCCTGTTTTCACTCAGAGCAGCAGCACCATTAGTTAGTCAGTTCTCCTGAGAGCAAGCTGCGTTTGATTGTGTGGAAGGGAAATCACGTTTCAACACTCAGGTAAGGCTCCTAACAGGGGTTTATGTATTTGTCCCACTTTTTGTTTTGTTTGACTGAAAAAACACCAACTTTCACTGTGTTCTCATGAGGTTTCTGTCTTCTGTGCCAATTGTATTTTATCAACAAAATGTCATTTTCCCCAGCAGCCATTTTTCCACCATGAATGTGTCCCAGACAATGGAGACAGAGGAGGATCTCCTGACTTGTCTCCACATCAAGTTCTACCACCCTCAGCAGAGTTGCAGGGGCCTTTATGGGGCACTGCCTCTGGGGAAGAGGAGCAGACACTCGTCAGATGAACCTCTCAGGCTGGGCCGGGATGCCCAGGCCTGCACCTACGCCCTGGTTGACCCTCGGGTGTCCCGGAAACAGTTTGTCCTCTTCGCCTACCGCACACCCCAGAGCCTGGACATGCAGTTCACCATCCAGAACCTGAGCCAGAAGGGGAAGCTGTCAGTCAACAGCTCTAGTCTGGGCCACCTGGAGAGGGTCGATCTCCCAGACAAGGCCCTGATCCGTTTCGGAGAGTATGAAGTCGAGATTATCCGCGAGTCAGGCGAAGCCAAGGGCAGCTTTGAGGTGGACTTTGAGGTGCTGGCCGTGCCTCCATCCAGGGAGACGTGCGTGTGCGTGCCAAGTATGACACCTGTCATGGACACAGGCTCATGTGTGACGAATGGTTTCACTTCTGAACTCACAGCACTTGGCCCCCTGGAGACTGATGAGACTCTCATGTATCATTCATGAGATATTGTAACGTGCTTTTACTTGATTATTGGCCAACATTTGAAAGCAATGCAGATTGCTGTGTAGTTGTTACATTAGATTGCATGCAGGCTTGTAGCTAATTCCTGTTTATAATGTGAAACTGTTATGACTTTGTGCTCTTTTCTCCATGTCTTTATACATCATTAACAAGCTGTGACCTTAATAACCCCTACTTTTTAAAATGAATGCAAAGAAGCACCTCACAGTAAATTTGTTTTTCAGTAACATACTCTTTGTGGGTGTTGTTTTGAAATGTTAAAAATTTGCCACAGGTTTGGAATTTCAGGGAAACTCCCAGTCTCACAATCGGGAGGTGTTTGATTTTTCATCAATCCAAAACACACAAAATACAAATCGGTTAAACTGTTTTTGGTCTGAGCTCGGGTTACAGCGCAAAGCTTCACTTCTACTTTGAGCAGAAAAGTTGAGGAACCCACTGCACTTTAAGTTTCACTTAATGAAGGAGGTATTCAAGTATTTTTTCATATAATACAATATCAAATCATGAGTAAAATAAAAAAATGACAGATCATTTTATGAGGGATTATTTTCAGATCTATACATTGTCTCTCTTGCATTATTGCTGAGATTTCTAGTAAACTGTGTTTTTCAGACCATACTTTTTTATGGATCTTGACCTATGACCTCTGTTCCAAAAGTGAATCATCTGGATTTACCCTGAGAGGCCGAACATGAGCTCAGAGGCGGAATCAGACGATCTCCTAAAGTCCACAACCCTTTCCCCTTTCTTACATCATACACTCTGATGTCTCCCCCTCCTACTGACTAACTTGTATCCTCCTTCTAGTCCCACCCCCACCCCTCCAGGGAGAATGTTAAGAAGATGAGTCAGAGTTTAGCGCACATCATTGGGGAAGTTTCATGCATGAGCTCTGTGCCAAGAGGGGAGAAAAAAAAAAAAAAAAAGTATTGTGGTTCCTTCCAGCATGTTCCAAAGTGAAAACAATTATTTGAGCTTTATTTTTCTTTTCAGAACAATGCGAGTTAAGCATCACAACAAGGTAATCTCTAGCTCTGCTTCAATTTCTATCCCTTAATTGTTTCTACTGAAGTCAGGAAGATTTTGACTACACCTTCAACTTGTTTAACTTCTGACATATTTATTTTAAAGTAGGAAAATAAAATTGTATTCCAAATAAATATGAAGAAGAGTTGTCAGTGAAGAGGAACGCAGTTCTGGTTGTGCACTGTGGGCAGGGAGGGGGCTCAAGCCGCTCCGACTCGAGCGCCCCTGGTTCTCAGACGCTGACCGAGTGGATGGAGATTTTATGTTGGACCAGGACGAGGCTTGCCTTGGACCCCCTGTTCCTGGACAGTCCAAGTCGAGCTCATACATCCGTGGCCGGTTACCGTTTTCGCACACAGCCAAAGAAGTCCATGTGAGGCAGCTTCACCGGGGTTGTCCGTGGCGTAGATGACTCCATCACCGCTGTCTGCACCGCTGTCACATGCAGCTTCTAGGCCTGCTGTGTGGCCTCAGCTTTGGATGCAGACACAAACCTGCAAAAAAATCTGATCCACAGAAATATTGTTGTACCTTCAGCCGTGGCGGGAGCCATTTAAAACAAAGAATGCTACAAACATTTGTGTGCGGCTGCCGATGCACAGTAACATCAAATATTCGGTCCACATGAGATATTAACCTGTAGGTTTGAGTCCAGTCCTGTTATTCTGGCGTCCTCAGGTGATGCCGCCACGCAAGTTTTCTTCTTCTTCACTCCAGCTCACCAAGAACACACCACACCAATTCCACTTCCTGAAAAAACACATGAGGTCATTTAATGGAGGTTTGTAAAACACACCGACTTCAAGGTGAATGTTTATTGCCTTACCTTTGACCACAGGGCCGTCTCATCCAATAATGTTCAAAACCCATTAAGTTCAGTGGAGTCACTTCAGGACGCATGAGTCACCACATTAGCAGAGAAAAGTCCTGTGAACATAAGACACGAGGTCAGTGATCGCACACAGACAGAAATCCACAAATATATTTTCTATCGTTCCCTTATCCCCTCCTACCCATGCTGCATGACCATGTTTTAAAAATGACCAATTAAAAATAAGCACCAGCCATGTTATCAATACATCAAAACTGCATATTTTCAAATCTTTGACAGCAACCTTACATTCTGAAGCATTTTGTTCCACTAAATCAAATATAT